AAAAAAAAAAAAAAAAAAAAAAAAAAAAAAAAAAAAAAAAAAAAAAAAAAAAAAAAAAGAGCTTTTGTTTGTGACACCGTATACACTTACTTCTATGATGGTACGTTTTTTATGACCATCCACACCTTTCGAGGGTAAGTTTTTCCTTTGTTTATTCATCCACACGAGCACCAGAGCTGGAGTTGGAGTGTTTTTATCAAACTATATACAACTTTACACTCGCTTGGCTGAGGACACTCGGGTCCGATATATTTAATTGCGTTCGGGTAACGCTGAATCGATACAACACGCGAAACAACAAAATGGTAGAATTAAAATTGTTACAAAAATAATTCAAAAGTATATTTTAAAAGTTTCATAACTCAGGTCTAAATTTTACGGGGACTGTAACACTATCAAGCATTTAAGCGTTCTTCTTTCAATGGCTAGTTTTTAGAGCACATGAACGATTCGAGCTGACGAGGAATTGAAAAATGCGTGAAAATTAAATAACACCCCCCTTCCTGTCATACTTACTACATACAAAAGTTAATTTTAAGGGAAGAACAATAACACGTGGTGGACGATGTTCCCTCTAACATCGATTCAGCGCAGGAACAGCCGATGGCGCATACATACAAAATCGATACACCCAAAGCCTTCCTGCAGCGACACTCGTTTGATTTTTTACCGACCGTCTCCTCTCGTTTATTTTTCGTCCTCTACTCCCCTGTGTTTTTTTTTTGTCGCAGCAGCAGTCTACTCCAGCCGAACATTACGCCCCGCCACCCGCCCTCCTCTCCTGATCTCCTCTTTTTGTGACTTTTAACCCGCTCTTTCGTACTTGCTTTTTTTCACAAATTTTTTCCCTCTCCGCGTTAAATATTTTCCACCTAAATGCTTCCTCTCTCTCGGCTGTATACATATATAAAAATGCACTTCCCCCACCCACGGCGAATATTTACCTTCCAATGAATATCACGCATCATAGAAAAAAAAGAGGCTTTCCCAAGCAATATGCAAATGTATTCCGTTCGGTTGTTTACTCGTTTTGGTTCAACGAACTCACCGGCTCGACCATATACGTACGGCCTAATTTTCGTTTTCGCGTCGAAAATTTCACCGCAGATTCGACACAACACCACCTTTTGGTTAGCCATTGTTTTGCCTCTGAACAATAATCATGATAATAATATCCCGCAACTCGTTTACAAAAAACACAAGAGTTTCGCCGCAATTTCTCCACAGAGTATACCCATCTTTCGAAAGCAAACCTTTCAAATTCCAAACACAATTCGCTGTTGCAACGAAAAATTTCTCTTTTCATCGTGGCAAACAAAAATTTAAAATAAAAAAAAAATTACAAGGGACTGCATCCATCCATCCATCCTCTCGAGTTACTTTCTCTCTCGTCTCTGTCCACCTTTCCTCCCGCAGCGGTGCCCAGCTAATTTTCTCTCAAGCCCTTCTGCAACCTCCTCCTCCTGGATTCCCAAAACACATTTACTCCCTCGCGCATTCCTAGGAGTCCTTTCCCCCTGCACAAGGGACACCCAAGTATATATATATACGTAAAGGGTGGATGACTGAGTGTGTTGGTGGGTGGGTGGGTATAGAAAGGGTTCGCAAATTACAGTAGTGACCAGCAGACTGTACTGTACTATATGTATATGTGTAGCTAGCGAGTGCAATTCCATGGGCACCTCCTCCTCCTCCTCCTCCTCGGGCAAGATGTCCGGGCGTCGTATAGTGGACGAGAGGCAACGGTCGCGAGAAGCCGTTAATTATCGAATGAAGCTGGTAAGGGGAGAAGGTCGATGGGGACCGGATCTCTCGAGGCATTGTATATACTGACGTATAGGTAATCGAATTAAGCAATCGACGCTTGGATTTGTATAAATGAAGCCTCCGATGCTTATAGTGCTCTCGGGCTAAGAAGGTATTGTGTCCGTCTTATCGTACGTTTGATCGAAAAGAAATTGAGTAAAGGAAGGTAAAAGTGGAAGAAGTAAGCAATCGGGGTATAATTGGTCTTAAGGGTCGCGGCGCCCCGATGAGAATTGCACCTATACGAGGCCAAGGGTGGAAAAAAAAGTAGGGGGAAAGGGAGGGTTGGGACATAGCCTTAATTCCTAAGTGGCGTTATACTTACTCGGCGAGGCTGCGAAATTGGATTTATCCTCCCTTTTGCCCTTTTACTTTAATTCTCTTTATCTTTTCCCTTTGCGCGGTGCCTCCTCCTCCTCCTCCTCTCGGAACACTTTAGTCGAGCCAGCCAATTGGTGGGAATTACGGAACGTAAGGTCCTTGCCATTGATTCTTTGTAGGATACGGACGGAAATCTTTGCTGGAAAATAAAAAAATTAACTTTTATTATTTTTGTGAATCAGTTAGAAACTGCGAAATTGGGTCTACGGTACCTACACACTTTCATTGTAATCTGAGCCCCTTTTATGTAATGTGTGTAAAATCAATACCCATGTATGATTCATACCATAAATTGACATTAAATCAAATGGGGACTTTTGACGTACATCAAACATCATAAAATATCATATACGTATTTTGCCCTTTTTACAGCTTAAAATGCAAAAAGTTGTTCAATAATTGTTAATTTAGATGACGACAATACTTGAATTAGTAATTACAGAGTCTCGAGTCATAAATAATAAAATATTAATTGACTTCAAGTAATCCTTGAACAATATCAATTGCAACCATTTACTAGTAGTGTCAAATCAATATTTTTCATAGCACACATGGTAGAAATCAACTGTTCAACAAGTCTCATAAAACCTTTCGAAAAAATCTCCCATAGTTATCCGTACACAAAACGAATGAATCGCCAACCTATACAACATACCCGCGCAGAGCGCTAGAATACAATCGCACGACGTTGTTACGCAACGCGAAATAACTTTCTCATTTGAGACTCGCTTGCGAGAGACGTTATATATTAATTGAATGGCTTTATCGCTCGCCCCTCTCTCGTTGTCACGGAAACAACGTACGAGTCGTATAAATTATCAACGCCACCTCTCCGTAAATCGTCATCAATACACCAAGCGTCAAAAGTAACCGGAGCTAGCTTTCTTTACATACATCCCAAAGAGACGTCATGATGCTGTAACGAAGGTCGCACTCGGAAATTATTCATTGCTCCGAGTTAATTATTTCGGCATATGTGTATCACATCGTAATTTTTGGGCGGCTTCTAAACGCCTTGCCCGTGGACGCGTAACATCGCACATCGGTGGCTTCATTTTAATTGAAACTGCGTTTGTTGATCATTGCCTCTGTCGAAAGCGACTTTGATTAGTTAATTATGGTCCGTATAGCATCGAGTTGAGTGTTTATCGTACGTAATTGTAATCGCGCTGATTGGCGTGTAGTATTTAGATAATTAACATTGGTTTCATCCGTACCACTATCGATGTTTCATCGCTTCCAAAGAGTGGCTATACTGTACGCTAAACTATAGGCATTTGATCAAGAATCATTCGCTCACAAATCACGAATAGTTTGAGCTACAAACTACACGCAAAAGCACCCCCCCGTATACAATAATTGATTGCACAATACTCTTCACACGAGAGCCTATCATCATTCTATTTGGCAGATTTAAAAGAAAAACATCCATACGTGGGTGTTTTGTTTATTTTAAATCGTACGAACAAAAAACCAACAAGGATAAAAAGTTTGAAGTTTGGGAGTACCTTTTATTGAAAAAACAAAAAAAAAAACATGTCCAATATTTTCCAACAATCTACCTGACGAACCTTATCCCAAAGAGAGAGAGAGAGAGAGAGAGAGCAGTAAAGAGCAGCATCATGTGGCCTTTGTTCTTTTCTCTTGTTTTCTTTTGATTTTAGCCTGGCGTGTGCACGATTGGGAAACAAACGCTAAAAAAAAAAAAAAAAAAAAAAATCCGCGAGGCGAGGTAGCAATACCAAAAAAACGCGAGTTTGACAGAGATAATACACACCGAGACACTTGGCGGGGAAAGCTCGCACGGATGTCAAGGACGAGATGACGAATCGAAACGAGCAGCAGAGACAGCAGGAGCTGCGCTCGATCCACAACCGGGACAGCTCGTTCGTCAAGTTCTTCAACACGAGTCCGCACGACGTCGAGATATACTGGATCGATTACAATGGCAAGCCGGTGTTCTACCAGACCCTCGGCCACCAGGACTACATAGACATCAACACCTTCGTCACCCATCCGTGGATCTTTGTCGAGAAGGAGACCAAAGATAGGTAATAATTGGTACCTCGGTCTATTTAATTATATGAAAAAAAAAAACATACAGCTCACGAGTTTGCTTCCTACCCGCAGATACTTGGCGAACGGCAGCAGTGTCTACTTTCCGAGGTCGTGGCGCGAGAATTACCGAGGCAGGCCCTTGAACGTGTCGGAGCTGCCGGCGCGGGTGGAGCGCGTGGTGGTCCGGATCTCGCTGCCGATGCACACGCTGCGCGACATTTGCCTCAGAGCCATAAAGCGGCGCATAAAGGACGACCGGAGCGTCTACGATCTCGAGTTGCCGCGTACACTACAGTTCGAGCTGTACTACCTGCGGCCGCGGAAAACCGGACTCACTCGCAGACAGATGCAGGAGATGCTCGACGAGGCTCGAGGGACCGGGAGCGCAAACGGGGAGGAGGGTAGGAACAATTAGTCAGGTTTTTTTTTTTTTTTTTGGGGTTTAAAAATTTTTTTTTTTTTTTTTTTTTTTTTTTTTTTTTTTTTTTTTTTTTTTTTTAGGATAAACTTAATTGTTTGTCCTTGGTAAGCGAGAGTCTTAATTGAATGGTATATTGTAATCGATGCAGACCGAGAAAAAAGTGTGAATATAATCTAATGGAGCTAAAGTAGTTACTCCCCCTTTCGTCGAGTATGTTAATAAACTCATTTGAAAGTGTACAAAAAAAAAGAGGTGGGGAGTGAATAAAAAAAAACCACTTCACCTCCGAGGGCCTGCATAATTTCAACAAAATCTTCGACGTACACAACCATCCCTTGAAAAAGCGCGTGGTAATACAGGCGGCGCTGGTGAATTTTTAAAAGCGTTTCGCTCTCGCCTTTCCGCGGCTGCTAAATTGAAAAGTCGGCGAGTAGAGCGCTGCTGCCGAATGAGAATCGAGGGATTCCCTCGGAGCGAGGCACTTTTGCTGTCCCTTCTTTTTTTTGTTTTTTTTTTTCTTTTCCAACGGGCCAAGAGCGCGTCTACTTGTTTATTATTCATTAAGAGAGCTCCGTGCAACATACTCTCCACGAAATTTATATACACACTCTTTGGCCACGAGTGCATCAAGTGTCTCGTACACCCATTAAAATAATACTGTGCACAAGTACTCGCATAATAAATACTTGTAGACACTACGGAGTGAGGATTCATGTTACGTAAAATAAACAAAATATACACGTCGCGTTTATTAATTTAAATCATTACGCGATACAGTTATTTCTGTAGCAGCACTTGCAAACGTAGATGTTTATTTTGTTTAATTATTTTTTATTTGCATAGAGCAAACAATTTTTGTTTACGTTTTATCCTTTCAGTGCTATTGACAGCTGTTTGGTGATGCCTTTAATCCTGATAATACCGATAGTACCGATACATCTTAAATGTGAAAAAAGAAAAAAAAAATTGGAAGATTCAACTATTACTCCGGTCACCAAAGCGCGTGTGCAGGAAAATACCGACACTCCGTATTATGGGCTCCCCAAATAACAGACCCGGAAGGTCTTGAACGGAGAGTACGGTCCCTCCCCTCCGCGTCGTTGGGCCATTATCCAACGTGTGTTTCCGAATCCCCTCGCTAAAACTCGACCCTCCCTCCCACCCACCCCCTTTTGATCGTCGATCAATCGAGTCGCACGCCCCTGCGAAACGACTGCTACTACCTCCGTAACTGCTCGGTAATTTCCACCCGTCTGACTCAACTCCCTCCTCGCCGCCACCTTACCTACGCGCGCACACACTGCAGAGACACCAAACCTCCTTACACATGGCCATCCCTTGTTGCTGCTCGGCTATACTATATACGTATACCAGGGAGGACTATTTTCATTCGTCTTCTTCTGCTTCCATCGCTCTTGAATGCTAGAACTTTTGTCCTTTCTCCTCTCCCTCCTCTTCCTCTCCTTTTTCCCCCGAGCAGCGAGGAGTTTCGGACTTGCATTATTTCAGAGCGCAGCAGCTTCCGGGCGATCGATCTCTTCCGAACGAGTGGGGATGAATTGAAAATTATTTAAGACGTCTCGGGGATCTCTGCACTTTTTTCGGATAAATTATACGCGAATTGATCCCGGTGAATTATTGCCGGTTCGTTTTTTCACGGGAAAAACATAAAAAAANAAGAAAAAAAAATAGAAAAAAAAAAAGAAAAAAAGTGCAACAAGTTTTCTCCTTTGCCTTCCTCTTCCTCGAACTAACACACACACACACACAGAGAGAGAGAGCGAAGTAAAAATAAAACAAGCACACCGAGGAACGGCCTCGCGTGCCTCGACTGCCCAAACTTCCCCCAAAGTGTATACGGAGAGCCTTTTCGACTTTGCCAGTCGTCGCGCTCTCCAAACAACTTTACGGAAAGCGCGGGCCTTTTCTTCTTCCTCCCCCTCGTACTCTTGTATATACACGAGGGTCTCGTCGGATTTGCCAGCCGTCGCTCGCATACTTCCAACCCTACAGGCACTTTCTAGCCCCCTCCCCGTGAAGTTTCTTACCGAGTTTTACACGCTAAATCAATGCGCGCCGCGATCTTTTACCGCGCCAAAGTCCTTTTATTTCTCCACGCGTGTCCTCGTTAGCCGAATCGATCAAAAAATCAACCGCCATCACGTAAATGCGCGTTCATCCATCACGGAACGTACAAAGTTTACCCCTCGAAAATCCGTTGCGACGCACGTCACACAACGGCTCGTCCGTTGCATACGCCAGACGCGCGGGGGATGGAAAAAAAGAGAGAGATCATCCTTATCGCGGGCGTGGCACGTTCCGGCGCTAACTATCTCTCTCTCTCTCTCAACCGTGAATCCGCAAAGTTGCGACACCGTTACCCATAATGGCCCGCTATCTCTGAATTATTATCGTAGGCTGACGCCGCCTAGCTGCCTATAGGTACATGCATTACGGGACAAAACGAGAGAGGCCCTGCCCCCCCCCCCCCCCCCCCGATGTGTACACAGCTTGACTGTGATGCAGGTGCAGCATATACCATAGCCGTTGCCTCTTTTGTGCGCGATCGGGCGTTTCGCGCAATAAAGGGAGCAAAGTTTGACGGGTGCTTTGAGTTGGTTTGAATGTATACACTTTGCGATCAAAAATGAACTCATTTAGATAGAGGGGGGGGGGACTTTTGCAGCATGAGACTGGATGATGAGCAACGATTGTATTACGTGGATTTTAATGACGCGGACTTGCGTGATGGGATATCAATTCGATTGAAATGGCTTTTACGTTAACAAAATTGGTGAGTGTTATAATTATTATAATATAATTCTCACGGCGTACGTGGCTTTATTCTATTTGTCCTTATTTTTGATCGTACCTAAACAATCATATGCTACTCGTTTTGGTCTCAAAATGTACAATTTGGTTCTCTTTGAAACGACACGTTTGCCTATGTTATACTGCGAAATGCTGCATCATCCCACTCAATTAATCGACTCTATACTCAATAAACTTTGGTAAAACTGTGAAAACCTGGTCTAACGTGTCGTAAAACGCTGCAATTACTATCAACCTACACCACTACGGATGATCAGGATCGCGCAAGAGCCACCAGACCTCGAAAAGTTTTCCAAGCAGACCGCGCGCTTGCGACGAGAGAAGAAAGTGCTCTTACATCATAATACGCAGTATATACGCGAGACACGTTGCCGTGCCCCATAAGTGTAGGCAGAAGCATTAAGGTAGTTATATCAACTCGACCTCCTTCGTGATTGCCCCCAACGCGAATCACGCAGTTTGCCATCGTGCAATTTTAGTTTTCGAGCCAAAGAGGGGAAAGGATGCCAATGTAGGTAGGTTCTGCCGAGAATTCGCGCGTCGCGGCATTGTTACGGCTGTCCCTGGATTAGCGCGTGGGAGCTCGAGGAGGAGGAGGAGGAGGAGGAGGAAGATTCCCGGGAGTGCCGGCTCGGGGAGGCGTTTGCGTGTCCCATTGTGGCAAAGGATTTTCAGCTAGTCGCGACGAGGGTGCGGGAATTGACGAAAGGGGGCGGAGGAATTTAATTTACAGGTTTTCGCCCTCGAAAGTTGAATTAGCAAGTTTTGGGGGATGAAGGGGAGAACCGAGGGGATTCCTTGTTATCGAATTCCGATTGTACGGTATACCTTGGCGAATGTACCTACTTTAATAGATTATTTTGATTGTCCCCGAAAAGTCGCTCAAACTTATAATAATTGACGCGAAGCCTCGTTCTCGCGATTCCCCGTTTCGGTGGGCAAAAAAGCTTAGCTTGTCTACTCTGGAAGGGCCCCTCGTGGTGGAAAGCTCCGCGGACAAGTTGGTTCCGATACCCGTGGAGCTCTGGCTCTTTTTTAATTAGACCCTTTGGACGAGTCTTCCTCTGAATAATAGAAGGAGCCGGACACGCGCTTCCGTGGAAAAAAGACGGGGACGACGACGCGAAAGATCCGGGGAGGGAGGAAAAGTTTTGCACCCTCGTACTTAGAGCCGTGGAAAATTAATGACCGAACGTATGGGGGAGAAAACTTTGTCAAGCTTCCTCTTGTGAGGCCGGTGGTAATTGAAGGAGCCTTCGTTTTGCGCCCAGTTTTTTTTTGCTCCTCCTGCATGGAAATGCTCGGTTTTTCCGGGCTTCTTATCCCCGACTTTTTGTCCGAGTCTCGATAGCTTTTCAAAAAGGCAAAAAGGAAAAAGTTATCCCGGAAGAACGGCGGTCGCGAGGGTGGGGGCGCGGAATTTCGAGCATTGTAAAAGTTTTCCCGCCGCTTTTACACTTCCCCGTTACCGAGTTTTTCCGAATCATTTTCACGGATATTAAATTCTCGTGCCACGAAGCGATGCGTCATCATTGGAGCTCGGTTTTTTTTTTACTTTACAAAAAACCCTTCGAACCAACTTTTGGTTAAAACATTCTCGGAGCCCTTACAGTCATGTTCGCGCGATTCCCTTGTGCAAAGCGACATAAACGTTAATTTTGAGATTAAAAATTGACATGCTCGTATAGAACGACGGTAAAAGTGAATCTTCTTTTTTTTTTTCACTTCCAAAATGGCACACCTTGCAATAAAATTGAGCTCGACTGCGACAACAACGGCACCGAGCGCCGTAAAGTGACGGTACGCGCAATAAAACAGGTGCCTTAAAAGCACGTCGACGCGCATTAGGTATCCCCATGATAGGTGAGTAGGTTTTACACGCCCGTCTTTCTTTCGAGCATCTCTCGCACACATACTCTACAACATAACTATACGTTACGTAACACGAATATACTTTGTACGTGGATGCGGGAATAAATGTGCACACCTCACAAGGGAGAGGTAATCAGTCATTCGCAGCGTATAGGTGAAAGTAATACGAAAATCACCGTTGACGTAAAAACGCGTAACATATGGGCTTACAGTATATGTAATACCGTCAATTTAAACATTACCAATTGAATGTACCCCCGTAAAAACTCGCAGCTCGTATGCCTATATAGAGACATGCATCGGCAA